AGATGCTATCAACCCTGAACAGTACGTTTGCTACAGCGGTAACTCGTGCCTTGCAGGAGGTTTCCCAGGTTCCTCGATCAGTACCAGCAGCAATCCCAGCGATACAGTTTGTACTAGATACCACTGTGTGGGCTAGTACAACTGTTAATGGAGGTTCAGACCTAGCTGAAACCAACCCCTCTCCTAGCAACACTGACCAAACTGTGCAACAAGCCGTGGACTCAGCAGTACAGCAAGTAACTGGTTCTTTTTTTCCCTGTGAAGTAGTCTCACCACCAAGTAAGAACACTTTTTTGTCCTTGGCTGTCCCATTAACACACCGAGTACCCGATAAGGTGAAAAAGCAAAAATGGGCCAATGAGTATGTCGACTTTGCAAACCTGTTAAGTAATAGCCTTACTCCATGAGATGAACGTTACACGTTCAGGGTGGAAAAAGGAGAAGGCGGGAAACCAGCTTTATCACTTGCCCCTAATCCTAGAAGGCAGACGGTCCAGTCTATAGAGCAGTGGGTATCAGCTTTTCAGGTTTTTGTTGCCACTTATTCAGAGAACGTCCCACAGGATACCCCAGCCCTCATGAAATATGGCTCGATAATACGAGAGTTAGCAACCCTGGGAGCAAATTGGAAGTTCTATGACGAGAACTTTCGTAGCATAAGGCAGACCCAAGGGGCACCATGGGACCAGATTCACGCTGAGTTGTGGTTGAGGTCTCATTCCTTTCGTGCCAAACTTGGTCCCCAGGCAGGGAAAAGTAAACAAACAGGACAACGTATTCCAAAGGGGTCTCATGCCCCGGGTGTTCCTACAAACACCAATGTTTCCAGTGCGGGAACAACCACCCAATTTCTAAATGTCAACAATCTTATTCCAAACCACCAGCAGGGAATTCAGGGACCAAACCAACTTCTGGTTCCAATTATGCCACTTCTAACCGCAGTCCTACCAACCGAAGCACTCCCAACCCCGGTCAACGCTAAGAGCTTAGAAGTGTACTTAACTGGTTATCAGGAGGTCTCTCGTAAACATTTATTAGATGGCTTTTTACATGGTTCTCGTTTGCATTTTCAAGACCTCAAGAGGGCTCATGTTCCAACAATCTTGTTTCAGCGTCTGAGCACTCCGACATTGTTGATCAAAAGTTAGCTTAAGAAATACAAGCAGGTCGGATAATTGGGCCTTTTGAAAACCCTTCATTACATAATCTCAATGTGTCTCCTTTGGGAGTTATTCCAAAAAAAGTGTAAGGTGAATACAATATGCCGCAGTTGATGACGCAGTTCAGATTATTAAACGTTTAGGTATAGGTTAGTGCTTTTCGTATAATCCCTGTTGTCCCTTTTGATTACCAGTTGCTGGGTATGCAGTGGAGGGGGAAATATTATGTTGATCGTTGCCTCCCAATGGGGTGCACCAGTTCATGTAAGACCTTTGAAGCCCTCAAGCGCAATGGAGTGGGCAGCACGCAACAAATTAGCGATTCCTAATATAATACATATTTTAGATGATTTTCTTATTTTGGAAAAATCCCACGAGGCATGTGCTGCTAGTCATCAAAGGTTTTTACATTTTTGTGAAGATATTGGCGACCCCATGGCCCCAGAAAAAATGGAGGGTCCTAATCAGGTATTGACATTTGCAGGTATAGAATTGGATTGTTTAATTCTCGAAGTCAGGCTTTCAATGGAAAAGTTGACAAAATCTTGGGGGCAATCCGCAATCTGCTGCCCAGGAAAAGAGTTCAACTAAAAGAGCCCCAATCGATTGAAGGTCTCTTAAATTTTGCTTGTTCGGTTATTACCCCTGGCAGAGTTTTTATTCGGCGACTGATAAATCTCACCATGGGTGTCAGACGTGCACACCACAGTATCCGTCTAACCAGAGAAACTAAAAAGGATTTAAGAATCTGAGAAACCTTCTTAGCCTCTTTCAATCTGAAGTCCTTTTTCTTAGAGGAAGCCTGGTCTACCTCCTATAACTTAAAGTTTAACACAGATGCCGCTCAATCTAGCAGGTGCGGCATCCTCTTTGGCAAGCACTGGGCTTATAGTACATGGCCCGATGCATGTAGAGCAAATAATATTTGCTTTCTGGAGTTTTTTCCTATTGTCGTTGGTCTCAGTACATGGTGTAGTAAATTGAAAAACAAGAGGGTGCTTTTTATGACGGATAACGAGAGCGTAGTTCATGTCATCAATAAGCAAACAGCGAAAGACAGTAAGATGCTTCGGTTATTGCGAGCAATGGTTCTTATTTGCCTGAGGAACAATATTTTCTTCACGGCACGCCCTATTCCAGGAGTTAAGAACGTGCTAGCTGATAGTTTGTCTCGTTTACGGGTCGACAAATTCCACACATTGTCTCGGGGTATGGATCCAACACCAACCCCACTGTCAGCACACCTTCTACCAGAGAACTGGGTAATAGACGAGCCCAGTTATTAGAAGCGAGTTTGAGTGCCAGTTCATTAAATACGTATCGTCGTCCACGGCAGATTCTGCAGCATTTTAAAAGGGATAAGTTTAAGCTCCAAACCCCTCTATTTCCAATTTCAACTCATACGTTGGCCCTGTTTATCGCCTTTCTAGCCGAACAAAAATGTGCAGCCTCTACAGTTGCATGCTACCGATCAGCACTTAGTTATCCTCAACGATTAACCTCTTTGTCTGACCAACTAAGTCCGAAATGATTCGGCTCGCTCTCCGGGCTACAGTAAACTTAACCCTTCGGCTGATTCTCTGTTGCCCATCACATTGCCAATACTTGAATATATTATTTTAGCATGGGAACACACAAAATCATCATTATATAGTAGGGAATTAATTCAAGCGATGGATGCTATTGCCTTCTTTGCTTTCCTAAGAGTCGGTGAAATTACATCTTGAGCTCATCAACCCCGTCATAATATAATTGCTATAAGTCAAAAGGTATTTTCGAAAACCCGGGAGGGTACTGTCAGTGCGATCAAGCTAACACTTAGGAATCACAAGCATAGTGACGCTTCAAATCCCGTAGATATTTTCATATACCGAGAGTGGCCAGTTTGTCCAGTTTCTCTCTTGTTAGAGTTTCTGAGTTTGCGAGGACAGTCTCCGGGACCTCTTTTCTGCTGGCCGGATGCCTCTCCAATATCTCGATCTTGCTTTGTGGCTGCTTTAACAGAAGACCTTTAGTTTTGCAATTTGAATGTTGCTCAGTATAAGACGCACAGTTTTAGAACTGGAGCCGCTTCTTGGGCCGCAGCTAAGGGCATGTCAGACATACGGATTGGGGCCTTTGGACGCTGGAAATCTAATGCCCTTCTACGGTACATACGCACTTCCACAACTGGGATTATGTCCGCAGTCCCAACTTAAGCCAGTGCCATATGCTCATGCTTGCAGTTCGAAGCATTCATCTAAATAGTATTCTTCCTCAAGCAGAGAGCAGATCTTTTGTGCAGGGGCCAAGTGTATCTGCATTGTGTGTATCTTACTGGTAGCCAACAGTACTAGATATATTTGCTCTATTACGTATAGCGTTGACTGATTGGGAACATTTGTGCAGGGACCAACTGTTTCTTGAAAGGTGCAACTTATCTTAGAATGATCTTATTTTACAATGTCTTGATCAAACCATGTGTGCAGGGGCAACTTGGTTCGTTCAGAACTGTTACGCACGGGCTAACATACATTTATTTGGTGTTAAGTTATCTAGCTGCCTGATCGGGAACTTTTGTGCAGGGGCCAATCATTTCCTAAAAGGTACAACAAACCTTAAGACTAACGTAGTTATGTTGAATGTTGGAAAGCAGGTTACCAATTTGTGCATCAGACCTTGTGTGCAGAGTCCACTTGATTGAATACCAGTTTTTTTCAATTACAAGGGGATAGCTCCTGCAGAGTTCTTGCCCTGTTATACAGTTGCCACATTGGGAACATCTGTGCAGGGGCCAATTGTTTTCTTAAAAGTTGCAACTAAGTTTGAGCGTAACTCTTATATTTGCCATGGTTAACAAGTTAGCAGTTGTAGATCAAACCATGTGTGCAGGGGCTACCTGGTTAGATGCAATCATCATGTTTCAGTTGTTATTGGTTAGTTATTGTTACGGCACTTTGGGCACTGTGCTTTGCTTTGGCTTTGGGTGGGGCGGCCCTGTCACGTTAACGCGTTCAGGGCTTTGGCGTGTTTGCCCTCACCTTTGCTGGAAAAAGGTACTCATTTCCAGTTCTGTTGTAATTTGAGATGATCTTACAATAAACGGCCACTTAACTGAGTGGCCAAATTATGGCAAAGATTTGTGTCAGTTTAGTTCTCTTCCCAGTAAACCGAGCTTAGCCTTAGCAATGCACATTTTGAAACACAATCCATAGTGACGGAGCAGTGGGCGTAAAATTTCTCTTAAACCCGCAAGCACGTCCGCAAGTACACGAAACTACTAACGGCTTGAGCTTGACAATTTATTAAGCGACACCGTAATCGGGTTAGCATCACAAGAACTAGTTGAGACTTCATTGTTTTGTGCCGGACATTTCATTGGCTGGATTTGAAAATAGGACATTTGATTGGCTGGATTTGAAAACGTTGGAATCTATTGTTTCAGTTCTGCCATCTGGTTGGTTTTCATTGTCTGGGTGGCCCCGTTTCAGTAAACGCACTGTAACCCCTTTCGTTACTCACCAATTCCTTATCACGCCAATCCTTAATCCTAGAACTCAGAAGCATTGCTCTGCAAACTTAATGCATCACAACGAGATAAAAAAAAAAAAAAAAAAAAAAAAAAGATGCAAGCTTTAAATTAATCATTCAACACCAAGTTAAGCTTACTTCCATAAACACTGGTTTCACATGAAGCAACTTTAAGAATATTATTACTAAAAATAACCTCCGCATTGAGTACATTGTACTCTAATTACACAATTACTTTTTGTGTTAACAAGATACATTTTATGAAATTACAATACAGGTATTTAAATTATACATACAAATTTACATAATTTACATAATTCCATATGATGGAAAGAAAAGAAAACAAACAAACAAGCAGCACTTACTCCTTTACAAAAAAAAATGGATTGCTATTCAAAACAAGGTTCCATTTTGCCTGAAAATGTTTTAAGCATTGACAGTTTACATTTTCTCCCCTGACATAAAGTCAGCCATTTATGGAGGTGTAGTGGCATACATGACTATATAGTGCCATGTACGGAATTTTTGGTATCCCACCTTATTTTATTGAGATCAGGCAGCTGCAGTTTCTTTCCTACTTTGGTTGGCTTTTTACAACTTTGTTTGTTATCTGTGGATATAAAAAGGGAATTTATGGGGTTAGTGTAGTAACATCTAACCAATCCCTCACAATTTTTTTTTTCACAGCTTTACAACTTACCAACTATTTTTCCAGAACCAAAGTTCTGTGACTCAACTGTTTCTGCCAGAAGATAAGGCTCTGGATCAAGAAGCTTTCCAGACTTGATGCACTCAGTAATGAAATCAAACGAGACCACAGGAATTCCATACTTCACAGCAGTTCTTCCTTTATAGGAGGACAAAGTCTTTTCAGCATCACCAGTGACCAGAAAGCTTGTCTTAGGGATAAAACAAAGTAATGCAAAAATTTAATAGTTACCATGGATTTAGGTGGTGCTGAGAGGGGCTATAATCCCAGAGTTTCATTCTTTTTTTTTTTTTTTTGAAAAAAAAAAAGATTGTAACTGAAACCAACTCACTCCAAAGATGCTCATTGTTGCTGTAGGGTATGGGGCAAAGTTGCATTCTCTCCAAGATTTTTTTGGCCCCCTCTTTCTGAATTTTCTTCATCTGCCCCTGACCAAATATGTACAAAGACAAGCCTGATATACATGTACATGAATCCAAATTTAGGTGAACAGGTCTGTGAATCCTCACCCAGGTCTTTGTATCACAAAGCAACAGGCAAGACGGAAATTTAACATGCCAAAGGATTTGTCCCAGGTGGAAGGGGAGTGGGGGAGTGAAATCCCAAGAGAGGGTGGCAAACAGATTACATGTGACACGTGATCAGGGCAAAAATTGGTGTTTGACATATGAAAAGTAAATAAAAGACATATGATGCCTGAATTTATGGTAGCTAAAACGATATACTTTATAACTAAGAATTTTGTTGAAATTCATTGATAAAACAGGATCACAACTGGCCCTCTTCCCCAGCCTCCTCTCACTTTGTTAGACCACCCCGGGGTGACCAAAATCTGTGATATTCCCTACCCTATTTATGACCTGACCAAAAATTTGAAACCCTGTTTCAGACCTGCGTTATAATATTCCCCTGGTTCAGACCAATGTTAAATTACCATAAAAATAATTTGTGAAGGGCTTTTGCAGATTTTCTTTTCTGTAATGATAAAAAAGTGGCTTCTTCTTAATGAAAACATACCCATATCAAGGCTAGAGTGCAAAAACCATACCCTATTTACGACCAAAATGGCCAAAATCAGCGAAAATTGATACCCTATTTATGACCGAAACGGTTGAAAAACCATATCCTTTGGGGCCGCACATACCTAGATAGCCCATATAAGGGAGTACCCCCCCCCCCC